GGAAGAAGAATAAGAAATTTTATTGTAATCCTTTTGAAAAGCTTTATATACGTAGCCATGCTCTGCAGCATCCCAGAAGGTTTGTAGACAACCAAGGCAAAGTTGGAAAGGAGTTTTATTGCTTCCAAGTCATTTGCTACTTCAAAGTCAACCTTCCCCCCAGAATTCACTTCTACTATTCTATTAAATACCTATTCTATTAAAGTTATGCTGTCTCCTTACAAAAGTAAAGTTTGTAGCTTTTTTCTACACTCCAAGTGTAGTACTTGCCTCACCTAAAAATCAGAGAACTTAAAGGAAAGCATCTACTTCAAGCAAATTGCCATGGCTCCCTCTACAGTCAATAAAAGACAAAAAAAAAAAGCAACCCATATTCACTTGAAGATGAACAATATCAGGTATCTATCTACCTGATCAGATACCTAGAAACAGTACAAGTCAGCCTGATTAGGTCCCTAATTAGCTAACTCACCCAGCCTAGCTGCCTAATTTTTAGACAGGCTGATAACTTCCAGGACGGAGTTTGGCTGAGTGAATCTCAGTCATAATGTATATGGGAAATGGTATCATTGAGAGAGAAAGTGAGTGAAAGAAAGAATTGGTTGGCCATAGAACTGGACTCCCTCATTCTTTGCCATGCATTACTGTGCAATGTAGGATCTGCTTTTACATTGTAATCTTAATCAAACAGGTTGAATTCATGATCAGAATTGATAAAACTTGACAATTTATTTGGAAGCATAAGCACAGACCTTAGAGGAAATATAAGCAAGGAAGTTTATAGTTGTAATCTTGCCATGTCTATCAACACTGAAGTTCAGATTTTCAGAACTATGTGCCTAAATCTGGGCAGATAAACCCATGGAGTCATTTAAAAATGCACATTGTGCTAGAACAGGCAAGAAAGAAAAACTGTCAATAACCTTGAGCACTAATTGTTTCTGTAAATAAAATAATTCATGTAGACATCTAATTACAGATTAAGCAACCTAACTTTGGAGAAAATAATTTGAAATATCCCTGTTCCTATCCCTACCATCAGAAAAATTTGAGCGCTCCATATTACAGCCAGACAAGAATGCAGGCTACCATTAGTAGCAAAAATTTAGTATTCCTGCTCTTGTGCAACTGCGTAACATCAACGGAAAGGCATTCAGTTCTACCAGATATTATTAGTTCTATTAGTTACTGCTTTTAGTATAAAAGTCAGATTTTCTGAGATCTGCTAGCAACCAGACACTTTTTTTTTTTTTTTGTAAGACCATCATGTGCAAATCATTACAGTTCAAAGGAGAGGCTCATCGGGATGAAGAGGTTTCTCAAATATCTGTGGTCAAGTTAATGAGATGTTTACCATTCCTTACAAGACAAATAGCTTTTAATTTGCTTAAGAATATTCAGGTGCTGTTTTCCTTAATGTTCTCTTTAATGAAAACTCCCTTTAAAAAAACATCCTACCCACATTGATTCCTTTTGGGAGGGGGCACCGCATTTTGTTACAGGAGGTGCTCACTGAGGTTAAAAGGAAACTGCAGTGCCGTGTGAGGGGCTGGGGAAGAGCAGGCCAGAGCGACTTATCTGTGCCTCGTCTGGGTGGGGAACAACGATGGCCTACTGCAAGGCCTTCAACCCCCAAGCTGCAGTCGCTCTTCCCGAGCTTTGGCAGCAGGCACCCAGCGGTGCCCAGCCGAGGCCAGAGTGGCTTTGCGCTGCGCTGCCCTGCC